GGGAGAACCCTCTACCAGCAGCCTCTTCCGCTGGCCCCTGCCCGGCTCACTCTCAGGACGATTACTTCTATCCTCCGATGTCTACCCTGCACCCCCGAGAGCTGGTTGTTTTGTGAGCCCCGGCCATCACGCAGGCGACCCCCACCCCGGAGACGACTGTGCAGCCACACACCAGAGCGTGGCAGCACACTGCACGCTCATTCCGTAGGAGCCCACCTGCTGGGTCAAGTTCAGTGGTGCTGGAACCCCAGCCTGGGGCCCGCACAACTCTTCACCCAAGAAACACTGACATCAAAACACCTGCCTAAAACACTTCAGGTTTTTAGCACTTAATCAAGGATTTTTTTTTTTTTTCCTTTTCCTTCTTCGCCTCCTGATGGAGTGTGTATTTGCTTCTGGGTGAAAGAAGACGTTTGCACCTTTTTGATTATTTCATACAAGATACACGAATGGGCTATATTGACCGCAAAGTCTTGATTTGTATTGGAAAGATATTTTTTAAAAAGACAACCTTTAAAAATACTTATTTGGTTCCTATTTCGTTGGGAATCGATTTAAGAGTTGTTTTTCTGAAACACGGTGTTAAAATGTTTCTATTTCGTAAGCGTGATCAGCCCTTTTGAAGTATTTGTGTAGTTGAAAGAAAGGCATTATACCCACATTTCTGGCTCTGAGCCAGGTACTGTTCAAGTTCAAAGAGGCTGTGAACCACATCAAAACTCCCTGAGTAGAACACCTGGATGGGGCAGACTTTGACTAATGACATTTGGGGAACAGCAGCGAGACCCAGCGAAGAAACGGAAGCTGGCTTGGCAAGCCCCAAACTAGGGATCTCCCCGCCTGCATCCAGCAGAAGCCCCGACGCTGTGCACCTGTGTCTGCTGGAGGATTTAGTAAAATTCAGCGAAACCCCTATCACCTCGGATGTGGCTGATCCAAAACCCCAACCAGGTGGAGTTTTATCCCGCACTCTGCTCTGGGCGACAAAGTAATGAGAGGGTAACCCTCCGAGATGAATTTGTGGTATGTCTGGGGTCAGTATTTGAAACAGAGGCATGCTAACTGCGCCCTTGAGGCACATCTTACTTTCGGTAGACGCGGTACCCAGAGCAGAGACGGGTGTGGCTGGAGGGACGAGCCGAGAACTGGAGGCAGCCCTGGCCATGGAGCTAATCACACACACTCGGCAGCACTGCCTGGACCGGCCCTGGACGGGGTGAGACTGGTCAGCGCGCTGGCACTAGCAGGGGGGCCCAGAGACCACCTGGTGCCGCGCCGCCCTCTGTGGAGGCAAGAAAGGCTAAGTCCTGAGCGTCTCAGGAGCAGTCCACAACTCCACGGCTCGAATGTCCTAGTCTACACGCCATTCTAGTTCAAGATCCAGGATCTAGACCCTGGGTCCACACAGCGGGTTCGAGCCCACGCTGCAGCTTGGTGCCGGTTTGGCTCACTTGTGTGTTGTCTCGCCCGCAGACTGGCTTAATTCAGTCCACGGGCACAGGCCAACGTGCACGACAAACCTCCTTTCTGCCTCACAGACCACTCAACCCTGCAGTCAACGGAGCGCTTAAAGAAGGGGCTCATGCTTGGAGCACAGGTAAGCGGCGACATCCTCAGATTAAAGTACTTCATCACACGACATCTGCACAATCAGTCAAATTATCACGCAAAAAAATAAAGTTATCCAGCACGTCACAGCTCATCGATCTGACCCAGCTTTTGGGATGGTGAGTGAGACCTATCTGTTAATACGGGCTCTGACTCGGCTAATTTATTCATTCAAATTTCACTGCAGGGAACAACTTCGGGTGTTTCAGCTTGGCCCGGTTTACTGGGTGCCAATCGTCTGCCTGGTACTTTCTACATATCATCTGCCACTCTCAAAACAAAACAGCCCCGTGAGGTAGAGATGATCGCTCCCATTCTACAGAGGAGAACACCGAGGTGTCAGTTTTGAAGAGCTTCACCGAGGTCACACCTGTCACAGGAGTTATGTAAATCCACCCAGAACTCAGCGCCCAAAGTCTGAGAGACACATCCTCTCCCCTAGAAGCACGGACCCCCTGGTAGACGAGATAAACTATTTGAACAAGTCCCCGGGAAGTCAAAATAGAGTCTGATGAGTCCTCTAGAACGGGTACAGTTAACCTTCTGTGGGACTAAAAGAATGAGGGATTTCCTTAGGTAGAGGGGTCAGGAAGGCTGTGGGGGGCCCTGAGGCGTTGAAGTGGGCTGTGAGGCGTGAGTAGGAGTCCCTCAAGACGGAGATAAAGGAGAAGGAGATTCAGAGCAGGGGCCTGAGGGAGGCTCCACCTCCACGGTTCTGGAAAGCACGGGGGTGCCCTCAGGGAGCAGCGAGCCACGGGCTCCCTGGGACACAGCCCACGGAAAGAAGGCCTGGAGAGGCTCTGGAAGCACACAGCTTTTTTCTTAGCTATAATCAAATGTTAAGAAGGCCAGTGTGATCCCAACGGATACGCCCGTTCCCGTGTGGACAGCAGGAGCTGCTGTCCCCAGGACAGGGACGCAGGACGGCTCCCCGGGTGCTCCCCAGCGGCTCCCAAGCCTACGTCCTCAGGGGGAGGAGTCTCTCGCCAGCCCAGCCGCGTTAGCTGATGTGGCCCGAAAAGAACAGGCGATGGACTGTGAGCCCTGGACGGGCCGCTCTCATCCCTCCACGATCCAGTCCCATCTCTACCCCAGCAGAAGTGTGTGGCTGCCTACCGGCCACAATGAACCCCCGAAAAAGACACAGATTCATCCGTTTCAGAAGACGAGCCCCTAAAACGTCTCACTTCGTCATGGGTCCCTCTGCCCGATGACAGTTAAGGCCAGCCTACTGTCAGGTGCTTGGCGGGATGCTGAGGGTGCGCGACTGTCCGCGGGGAAACCGCAGTCCAGCCTGTTTTTCCATCGCAGTGGGGAGGCCGGTGCGACCACACGGATATGGAAAACAGGGAACAGTGTCGCGCTGGGGGCGGAAGGTCATAGGTGTGACGTGGGGGACCGTGAGCTGGGGCACCGAATATTCCAGGAGAAATGTCAAGGGGGCAGCTGGGAAGGAGAACTGCTGAGGGGCGGCTGGACTAGAAACCCCCCTCTGACCTGCAAGGAGGGGCCCCTGATAAAAGGGGCAGCCTGGGCTGCGGTGACGGCAGTGGGCACAGGGCCCCGGGGCCCCAGGGCGGCGCAGTGTGAAGGAGGCGTACGTTCTGGCCAATTGAACTCGTGTTTCAGCTTCATTACTAACCACCTGGCAAATGCCCGGGCTTCCTCAGCCTTCTATCCGCCCCTGACACGCCTTCGCCCGCGGCTGTGGCAGCCCCTCTCGGGCTTGAGGGTTGGCACACGCTTTGGAGAAGTGGCCTCTGCGCACAGCACGGACACCAGGCAGAGCTGCTTCCTGCTCACCCTGGGCCTCCCTGGGGCCCCTGGGGAGCACATCAGGGACGGCAACTCCTCATCCACTTCCCACAACTGACTGGGCTCAGGGGGGCGATGCCATGTCTTTTGGTTTGTCCTCAAATCTAAAACCATCCCTTCTATCAGGAGAAAACCAGCTCCTGGCTCACATCAACACAAGGGGGGGGGGGGGTCTAGGATAGTTTTGTTTTCCCCTGGGGTGGGTACTGACGCCCAGGTATTGCCCGAGCCAGAGAATGAAGACCTCTGTCCCCGGAGTCACAGTCAGGGGCAGAACAGGCTGCCCCGACCGCCTCCTCTGACTGCAAGCGCAGACCCATCTCTTGGGCCTGGTCCACGTCACCAGCTGGCCTTGTCCTCTCTCAAGGCCTAGAGCCTGTGCTCGGGCACACAGAGCTCTCCCAGAGAGTGAGGCTGGGGGACCATGACAGGCAGCAGCCAGCGTAGCCACCGCGGGCACCCCCTCCCCCATTCCAGGTCGTCCTTTGGCTTAGTGCCCTGGTCTGGGGGAGAGGCCCTCCCCCCTGCGGCCCCCTCACTCACACCTGACCTGGGCATGGGTCTTTATTTCACAGAGACAGGGCCTCCCCAATCAAGGAGACCCAAAGACCTCCGGGCACCCGGGGTCAAGAGCCGACGAAACAGAGACACAGTGATTTCTAAAGCAGGCGACCCTCCCTTGGTGCTCGGCACTCAACGCAGCCGCCGTCCCCTCCAAAACACAGCTCGGGCCACCTTCTTCTTTCCTCGAGTTTCCTGCGTTGAAACTCGGAGAGCGCCGTCCTGATTCCAGACGAATTAATGCAAGTCGGCAAGTATAACGTTAACCTTTCCAGAAAGGCTGGCCGCGCCACGGGGCAGCGGAGGCCAGGTCCCGCGCGGTCTGGCCACGGCTCGGCCCGGCCTCTCCCGCGCGGGTTCTCCAGCCTTGCCGGCCGGCCCGGGAGCCGCGGGCGTGGCAGGGCGCGGACCCCCGGTCCCGGCGCGCCCACGGGTCCCCGCCCGGCCTGCCCGCCGCCCGGGTCGCCCTGCGGCACCTCCGCGCTCTCCCCTCCCCGCCCCCCGCCGAGGCGAGCGCGCGGGACCCTCGGGGCGGCGTCGAAGGGCGGCCCGCGCCCCTCCCAGAGTTGGCGCAACTCCGAGTCACTTTCTCAAAAGGCTCCCGTCTGTCCCCTGCATCCTTGGCCCCGCACACGCCCCGTGGGGAACCCCCCCCCTTCCGTCTCGCCCGCTTTCACCTCCGCCTCTGTCGCTGACCCAGAGCACTGTCTCCACCCGCAGACACGCGCTCCGGGTGCCCGTTTCCCGAGGGGGAGCGCGGGAGCTGCCGAGGCGGCGGCCAAGCCGGGCGGGGGTTCCGGGGAGCCGAGGCCGGGGTCGCGCCGTCCCCCGCCGCCCGCACCCGGCGCGCCGCGGGGCCACCGGGGACCGGGCTCCGAGACCCGGCGCCCGGGCGCGGCCCCTCCCTCCCGCCGCGGCGGCCGAGGCGGCGTCCCCGGCCTGTTCCGGCCGCCCGGGGCGCGCGGTCCCCGGAGGGGCGCACGGCCCCCGCCCGCACCCCGCGCGCGCTCGCTCACCTCGGGGGGGCCGGTCCGGTCGCGCCGATCGCGCCGCCGCGGCGGCTCCGCATCTCCCGGGCGCCCCCGCCCGCCGCCCTCCCGGGCGCCCCTCGGTCCCCGCCGGCGCCAACGACGGTCGCGGGGACGCGCGGAGGCCGCGGGGTCCGGGCGCCGCCGGCGCCGCCTCCAGCCGCCCGCAGCCGAGCAGGAAATTTGCCGGCCGGGTCCCGCCGCCTCCTCCGCCGCTGCTCGGGCTCCGGCTCCGGCTCCGCGGCGGGGGCGGGGGCCGGCGCAGCGAGGAGCGGGGGCGACGCCTGCCGTCCGGCGCGGGGAGCGCACCCTGGGCGCCAGCCCCACCTGGAGGTGCCCCGCCGCCCTGGCTGCCGCCCCTTCCGGGAGGCCCTGGCCAGGCCCCCACTGCCCCGCCCGGCGCCGCCCGAGGGCGACAGCTGTGACGGGCCCTCTTCCACGCGGGAAAGGCCCTTCCTACCCCGCCGTGGGCCTGGGCACCAGGAAGCGGCCTGGCTGCGGGCCAGCTTTGGGTCACGCAGCGGGTACAGAGGAGCGCACTGCACCGAGTACCGCTTCTGGTTCCGAGAAGTCCAGAGAGAGCCGAGAAGTTTCCCGAGCCGGTGTCCTCGTCGGTAAAGAGGGGACGGGGTGACCCTTGGATGGTGAAGGGCTTCAGCGTCCAGGAGTGAAACCTGGGAAAGGTAAACACACTCCTGCCAAGGAGGGTCCCGGCCGGCCTCGCTCTCTGTCGGGGACTGCTCTCCGGTGACCTCCTGGGCACCTGAGAGACCTGGGCACCTGGGCACCTGGGCGACCTGTAGGGAGGTGCAGGAGTCACGGGCGCTCCATCAGGAGGGCAGAAAGGTCCAGGTAGCCTCATTTCAGTTCTGAGCCTTGGCCCCAGACGTGGCCTTCCTGAGGGAGACTGCATCCCTGCCGTGGGGACCTCACTCCTGTGGGTTTGTGAATGCAGGAACCGACTCCAGGGGGCCATGGAACCCCACCTTGCATCAGTAGCCAGCAGGCGACTCCTGGGGCGGTGTGACTGTTCCCGGCGGAGCTGTAGACCCCAAAGACTAAGGAGTGGTGGGGCACCTGCTGGCTGAGACCATCCACAGTTGACCTGCCCGTAGTGCAACTTTGCACAAGAGGTAGAGAGGGTGAAACGGTGGAGACCTTGAACTCAGCTTTCCCTCCCTGCCCTGCCCACACTGTGTCTGGGGGACCTGGTCCCACGCCAGGGCTTCATACGCCATCCCTATGCAGGGGACTGGAGAGCATCTCCCCACAAGCTCTGCCCCTTCTCCCAGCACCTCAGCCCCTCTCGCTCCGACTCAGCTTCTCCAGGAGCATCCCTGTCTCTACCTCTTCCCCTCACCTTTGATTCACCTCTGCCTGACATCTCAGCTGCTCGGAGCCCTCACCCCTGTGAGCCTTCTCTCTGGGAGCCCAGCTCTTCCCCGCCTGGGCTTTCCCCCTCTGCCCCTGGAATATTGCCCTGCACTCCTGTCCTCTGCTACTCTCTCTGAGATGTATTCATCTGTTTGGGGGCAGTCATTCTGGTCGGCCACCATCCCCCCCACCCCCCACCCCCCTCGGAATCAGGGCTTCTAGCTCCAAGACGGTCCATTCCATGCCGGACTCCAGCAGGTCTCCATCTCCATCTCAGGCTCCTAACACAGCCCTGATAGCCAGGATGTGTCAATGAAAGCATGTGGGCTGGCAGATCAGAGGAGGAGGGGCCCAGCAGGCAGCGCCAGGCATCCCCCCTCCCCCTGCCCCGCCCCCTCCAGGACACCTTCCCGGAGCAACCCAGGTTGGGTGGAGCCAGGTGGGCCAGTGACGTCACCCAGGCCTCAATTTGCCTGCTGCGGTGGCCCACAGAGCCGGAGCTGGGCACGTGGACACGGAGGCCATCGTTTCCAAGCTCTGGTGAGCACGGTTTTGCTTGTTAACGCCACGGGGCTGTGGAGACAGAGACTGCGATGCAAGTAGAGAGAAACAAGTTGCCTTTGTCAGACATCTGCTCTTGGAAAGTCAACAGCCCTGGTAACATGAGGAGGGGCAGATGGCTCCTCTCTCCTGGTAACATCCTCTCTGTTGGATTCTTCCAGGAATTAAGCAATATCCCGTAACTTCTCGAGTCTGAAGACATTCATCACTTTCACGCTAAAGCATGTTGTCAGAGGCGTTGGAGCCAGGGTCGCGTTGAGTCCCGTCCTGAAGCCCCTTGATCCTTCTCGACCCTCCCCATTCCGCTTGGGTCCTGCATCTCTCCATCTCGGAGAGATGGGCCCATGCCCCTACTCCCCTCCTAGGGTGAATATATTCCCCTCCTAGATCCTAGGCTTCAAGGATCTCCCTCTCTTGCCACCCTGACCATTTAGCCATCTTCTTCTTTTAACTCAAGCCCCAGCGCTTGTTAAATCAGCCCCCATCTGCACTTCCTGTTTAATCCCACCCAGGGAGCCTTCGTCTTCACCAAGCCCTGCAGCTCCCTTCCTTACGTGCAGGAGGCTGGAGGCAGTTTTCCTGAGGCTGTTATTCTTAACCCTGGATGTATCTTGTCTTCTATTTAGCTGAGGGCTGAGACTTTGGGCTCAAGTTCAGGGTAACGTGGATTCTGCTCTTTGACCTTAAAGGGCCCGGTAGATGTCAGCTAAAATTAAAACACTCAGGCCAGAAGTGCTCTCTTGGAGGATAAACAAAAAAGGCAGAATCAGGATGTAGAAAGCACTTCGGAGTTTGCTTTTAAACACTATACAGAGACATCAGCATACAATGACAGGACTTTAGGAGATAAACTCAGGACACCCTGGTGATGGATCGGCCACAGGGCAGGGCAAGCAAGGAAAACTGACTTTAGGACCACTGCCCACAAAGCGGAAACGCAGGACGGCTCTTCTGATCTCTAGAATGTGCCAGAATGAATAACTCCAAGGGGCACAAAACTTTCTATGTTTACATGACGCAAGTACCCTTCCCTCTCCCCTTTCTCCAAGTTCTGCCCAAGTGTTCACAGTTATTAACCAGTGAAATCGAGAGAATGGGATTTTTGCAAGATTTCCCTACTGTCCCAGAAAAACAGGTAGTTGCTGCCTCCTTCAGGGGCATCTCAGAGCATTTAACTCGTTTTTTCTTGCATTACTTTTCATTGATGGATAATATACACGTATTATACAAATATTTGTATAATACAAATTTACATATACAATACAAAATAATATATTTATAAATACAAATCAATGTGTACAGTTTTATGAATAAAGACAAATATGTAAAAAAGTGAAATGCATGTCCCAATCACATTTCCCTCACCCTAGAAAGTCCCCACATGTCCCTTCCCAGAAAACCCCTGAGTCCCACCAGAGAAGCCTCTGCTCTGGTGCTTAGTACCATAGGTAGTTTTTTGTGTTTTCTTTTTTTAGTTTTAGAAAGAGCTAGAGAGAGCGTACACACATGAGTGGGGGGAGGGCATAAGGAGAGAGAGAGAGAGAGAGAGAGAGAGAAAGAGAGAGGGAGAGAATCTTAAGCAGGCTCCTCGCTCAGGGCAGAGCCGGACACAAGGCTTGATCCTTCTACCCTGGGATCATGACCTGAGCCAAAATCAAGAGTCAGACACTCAACTGACTGAGCCACCCAGGCGCCCCACCACCCGGGCACCCCACCACCCGGGCACCCCACCATAGGTAGTTTTAACTGATCTAGATCTTCCATAAATGGAATCATATGACATGAACTTTTTGACTTACGATTTCTTTCACACAGCAAAAATTTGGGGGGAGGGGGGACATTCATGCTTTATTACCTATATCAGTAGTTTAGGAAATGTATCTTCTTTCTCTAGCTGCTTTTAAGATGGTCTCCTCATTGTTTTTGTTTTTTGTTTTTAAGAAATGTGATTACAATACTACCCCCTCCCTCCACAAACTCAAAAGTATATAATCAGTCACTCCTCACAATCTCACGGCAACTCTTTCGGCCCACGGGTTCTATCCTTGAACTGTAAGGACCTTTGTGCACCAAACAAATAGAGGAAATAAAATAGAATAACTAAAAAAAATACGTCTTTGTGTAGTTTTCTTTGTGTCTATCATTCTTTGGGATGAGTTGTGCTTCTTGGTTTATAGGTTTATGATTTTCATCAAATTTGGAAATTTTTAAGCCATTATTTTTTTTAATGTTTTCTACTTTCTCCTATTTCTGGGACTCCGATTATATATACGTGATATCTCCCGATATTAGCCCATAGGCCGCTGAAGATTTCTAAACTTTTAAGTCCTTCTTCCTCTCTGAGTTTCAGCCTGGGTAGTTCCTATTGCTGAATGCTTAAGTTTGCTGACCTTCCCTTCTGCAGTGTTTAATCTGTTCAGTCTGTTTAGTGAATGTCTCATTTCAGATATTGTACTTTTAGGTCACAGGAGTTTTATATGGTCAGTTTTAAAATAATTTTCATTTCTCTGCCAAGACTCCCCATGTTCTTTTCCTTTAAATTCTCAAACGTACGTCTAATAGCACTTCTGAGCTCTTTGCTGATTTCAACATCTGTGTCATCTTTGCATCTACTGATGCTTTTTGTCCTGATTATTTTCCTGTTCCTAATTTTTTAAATGTTTATTTATTTTTGAGGGGGGAGGAGGAATGGGAAGAGAGGAGAGAGATGATTCGAAGCGGGCTCTGCACTGACTGCAGAGAGCCTGATGTGGGGCTCAAACTCACGAACTATGACATCATGACCTGAACCGAAACCGGACACTTAACCTGCTGAGCCACCCAGGCGCCCTCGCCTGTCTAATTTTTTAATTGTCTCCTGGATGCAGCATTCTTGGGAGTCTGGATTCATTTTCGCTTTGTCAGCTTATGTTGATGGAAACCCTTTCTCCAGAGCTAGAGTAGCCCCAGTCATAAGCATGGCTTTTCTGAGGTCTGAACTGAATGCCTAACACATCTGACAAGGTCTTGCCACTCTAGCTGATTGGAATTCCCGGGATCCCCTCCAAATTCACAGCCCCCCATAGATTTTTATGAAGCAAGGTTTCATCCAGATAACTCACAGCTTACTCCGAGCCGGAAGAGTCTAGGGGGCGCTGTGCAGAAAGCTAGAGCTTCTTTTGGGCACAACTGTGTTCTGCTTCGGTCCCCTGCCTCGCCTCACACGTTGC